TTTTTGGATCAATAGTCGGTATGGTTATCAATTTGGTATATTGGATAAAATCTATTTTTAGAATTCAGTTATAATATTTTTATTCTAAATATAATAAAACTTTGATTAATTTTCTTATTTTCATTTCGGTTGGTTATTTTCTTAGATATGTAAATATATTATAGTTAAATTATGTATAACTTAAGATATATTGTACTTACAATGAAATAAATAATAAACTGAAGTGTTTGATTCAAAATTACATACATGAATATAATGATAATATTTTGAAGTCTCATGCATATATATAAATTCTACAAAAAAAATAAATTGTAACTGGTAATTTTTGATGTTTCAAAAAAAAAAAACTGGTAATTTTTGAATATTCATGAACATATATATTTTTATTATTTTGAATATATATTTTATGTTATTTAAAAATATATAGTAATGGGGGTATTACTATTTTGTGAACTTTCCCTTTTAATAAAGTCATAAGATATACATATATTTTCGTTTTTAAATTTGTTTTACAATTTTAGAAATATTTCCTTTTTATTATATATATTTATTGAAAAAAAAGTAAAAAGGAAACTAAATAAAAAATTAATAATAATCTTAAAATCTAACAATTCATTAAGGGTATCTATGTAATCAACCATCGCAAGAGTTAATGTGAGCGCGACACGTAGGAAACTGACTTCTCAAATAATATTATAGAGATTGTTAGTATGTTTAATTCAAATAACAACAAAAACACATTGTACATATTGGTTTCTCGGTTCGGTTTGGATCAATTTTGATTCAGTTGGTTAGTGTTAGGAAAATATTAAACCAAATTATTTGATAATAGATTTTGGTTCATTTTGGATCGGTTTTGAGTTAGGGTTTTTTTACCCACCCCTGTGAAATTTAATACAGCTAAGATTTGATAAGATCAATTTAATATCATAATTCTAAAAAGGTGATAGGGATGAGATGTGACAACACACATCCATTTTGTTCAAAGAATAATGATGGTGATCATATGCAAATTGGATTTGTATAAACGTTACATACAAAAATAGTGATGTTGATACTCTTATTCAGTTATACACGTTTGGACCCACCATTTGCAGCAGCTTGTGGTTCATGTTCTTCTTATCTTAGGCTCTAAGCGACTTGTCAAGTTCCAATAGGCTCCTCGGATCTCCACGGTTTGCCACATCCGCTTGACCGACTTGATGTGCAAGCAAACAAAATTAGGACATGCCATGTTTATCTCCTACAACATCACTGAAAAAAGACATCATACTAAGATAACAACAAATTATCAAGAAACATCCCTAAACATTTTTCGCATAAAGAATGTTGCAGCTAGAATCACCTATTTGGACAGTATCATTGTCTAGCTCATGAGAAAAATCATGGACAGTTTAAAAATGAAAAAAAAAATAATCAAGAATCAAGATAAAACAAACAAAGGGTTATGGATTGATCAGCCAGAGCCAAAGTTCTAGCCTTACCAAAAATAGTAGCATACAGTATATAAATAGTTAAAAGTTGCAGCTGTCCATCACGGGCCATAACCTAGGCAACATGTTTTGATGGGTCCTACAGAGAGAGTAGTAAACTCTTGGTGTAGCTTTCTTCTCCAGTGTTGATAAGATACAAGAAGAAGACTAGTATGATGATTCCAAAAGCCAATGTCAACATCTGTGGACTGGACCCCTATACACAAACCCTACACAGAAACTCAGCCAGCCACAAGATAATCACACAACTTTTCAAGACCACTAACTTCTCTCCAAGTGTCAGCCCCTCCAAGATTCTATCCTTCCTTTTGCCTTCTTAGTTCCCTTGCCTTCATTTACAATCTTCCCTCACCAAACAAACTAGTAGCCCATTAAACATGTTGAAACAAGAGAGTAACTGGTCACAAACCTGTGACACATGCCGTTCAGCTGCCTGCACTGTCTACTGCCGAGCTGATTCTGCCTACTTATGCACAAACTGTGACGCTCAAGTCCATGCAGCCAATCGTCTTGCTTCCCGCCACGAACGTGTTAGAGTCTGTGAGTCATGTGAGCGAGCACCGGCTGCCTTTTTCTGCAAGGCAGATGCTGCTTCCTTATGCACAGCTTGTGATTCACAGATTCATTCCGCAAACCCACTTGCTAGACGCCACCAACGTGTTCCAATTCTCCCAATCTCTGGCAGTTCAATGGTAACTAACCATTCAAGTGAGACAACAGAGCCAGAGAACATAGTCTTGGTGGGTCAAGAAGAGGAAGATGAAGCAGAGGCGGCTTCTTGGTTGTTGCCTAGCTCAGTGAAAAACTGTAGTGACAACAACAACATCAACAACAGTCAGGACAATAGGTTCTCGGTTGGTGAAGAGTATCTAGACCTTGTGGATTACAATTCGAGTATGGATAAGCGAACCAATCAGTATCAACAAGACTACAACGTACCACAGAGGAGCTACGTGGCAGATGGGGTTGTTCCACTTCAAGTTGAAGTATCAAAACTTCACATGCACCACGAGGAACACAACTTTCAGTTTGGTTTCACAAATGTCTCCTCAGAAGCTTATGGAAGCTCCATTGGCTCCCCAAGTCTTATGGTGAGTCTTGTGCCAGAGTCGACATTGAGTGACACAACAGTATCACACCCACGATCTCCCAAAGTGGTGAGAGAGGAGCTACCTGAGGGGGCTCCAGTTCAGATGCTGAGTCCAATGGAGAGAAAGGCTAGGGTGATGAGATACAGAGAGAAGAAGAAGACAAGGAAGTTTGAGAAGAGGATTAGGTATGCTTCAAGGAAAGAGTATGCAGAGAAAAGACCAAGGATCAAAGGCCGTTTTGCAAAGAAGAATGAAGTTGATGCAGCAGACCAAGGTTTCTCCACAATGGCAGTGTTTGACACAGGATATGGAATTGTTCCTTCATTCTGATAATACATCCTATGGCATGAACTATAGATTGGTTGCTTGTAAATTCATTACTGGTTTGAATTCCTTAGAAATTATCACTACTGTAATGCTATATAGGTCTCTATTTTTTTGTCTAACTAGTACGAATTAATTAGATATATATTTATATTTTGCTCTTGTAGTTAAATCAAATTAGCACACATAGTTACCATCCTTTAGTCTTTACTTCAAACCAATGCTATAAAGAGATGTGCGTTACTTTAGCTAGATGAACCAAGAACAGTTAGCAAGTAGCGATTCCTTTCTTGGTGACACTTTCCACATCAACTTGATAAACAGAAGATAAATGATTTCACTTGTGCCTCCTTGAGATCGATCCAAGTGTTATAGATCGGTCGATCTGGCTTGACACAGATTGGTCGATCCAGGAGCTTTTGGATCGGTCGACTGTGTCAAATCCGAGAAATATGGAAAGTTTCATTAAACGTTTTCTATATATATCTTTGGGGTTTTATATATTCTGTAACATGAATTGTATTCTAAAAAACTAATCTCCACTAATAAAGTATTCTTTTTGCTCGTGGATTAAACCATGTTAAATCTTTGTGTCTTTCTTCAATGTTTATCAATTTGTTAATTTGTTGATTTTACAAAATTTGTTAATTTGTTGATTTTACAAAAAAAGCAGATGAGTATATAGTTAACTGTTAGACATATAAAACTTGGAAAATTCAGTTAAAAGAGACATCATAACATCACACATTGAATTGTCATTTCCAGTAACATACTTAGGAAAGTGGCAGTCAGATAGCAAACAACCAAGAACCATAGGAGATCATGGTTGTGTAACAAGATCTATGCATTCCCACGTGGCACTCTCTGATAAACAAGATTCTAAACACTTTTGTCCCATCCAGTATATTAACACTTACAAGTCACTGCTAGCAGAATATGTCAATGCCTATGTTTACTTGCTCTAAATCTTAAAGAATAAAGGGCTAAAGTAGCTCACTTTTCCTAGGCATATGCTGGCATAAGACTTCACTTATTTGCCACCTGTAAAAGGCCATAGAGCTCAGCTTATGAATTCCTCTACTAATCAGAAGATTCGTTTTGCCATCAATGAGTGAGTGTTGATAGTTATATGAATTTAGCCACTAGAGTGGGTGTAAAAATATGTTCTTTTTTGGACCACACAAATGGATCTCATTCGTCCACTGAAACCAGAAGTGTGTCTAGTGTTACCACTGCAGCATAAGCCCACCAGACAATCTAGGCTGTGATCTGGTTTGATCATGTAACACAAACATATAAACCAACCAGGAAAATCAAATATATCTTTGGTTACATATGATATTAGCATATCATCATCATCAACAAGGAAGCTAGTAGAGAGTTTGATCTAAAAATATCGGAAGTACTAAGAGTAACATTATCGGTGGTCCCTTATCGTTATCCCTTAGCGGAAAAATTCCTTAGTTTTTAACTAAAAACGCTAAGGGGCATCCGTAAAGTCCCTTAAATAAGGGATTTTACGGATGTCCCTTAGCGTTTTTAGTTAAAAGTTAAGAGATTTTCCCGTTAAGGTTTTTAGTTAAAAGCTAAGGGACTTTCCCGTTAAGGGACAACGCTAAGGGACCACCGATAACGATGCTCTAACGAGTGTAAGAGCCAATTGAATGCTAACATTGAGTGATAGATTCAAGAAATCACGTGGAAGTTTCAGGAAATTGAAGATGCGATAACAATTAGTTTAAGTGTACTAACGAATGTAAGAGCCACTTGAACAATAATTTTTAATGATGGATTCGAGATATCACGAGAAAAGTGCATAAAAGTGATTACACTTTCGCCAAAGGTCTCTGCACTTTTGAACTTTTCCTCAGATAATTTTCTCACAACCAAGTAAATTGGAGAATCCTCACATAGCTTACAATTGCAAGCTTTGTATGGTCCCTCTGGACTCTTATTCTATTCCTCAGTCTTTTCAAGAAAAGATGGTTTTCTATTTAATTCTCAAACAAGGAAAGTATTCGCAACCACAGAAGCTGATAAATAATGAAATCAAATAAGTGACATACTAATCTTTCCTTAAATCTCTAAAACTGAATGGATTAAAGATGCAGTTTCCTCCACATAAGTCTGTTGAAACTTCTAAACCACAGATAGGCAAAGAAAAAATAATAAACAAACCAATTTTTCCTTGAACTACAAGTGATAAAATGGCCAATACACAACTCTTCATGAACTAAAACAACTATATAATCCCCAATATTTTTCATATCATTGATGTAAAGAACCTAGAATCCTTTTCTTTAGAGTTTTCAATGATCATGAACCAGTAAATAACAAGAACTTGAAGTTAAATGCAAATTACCAAGAAAATCGTGTCTTAAGAGAGAGAGAAAAAAAAGTGTGGTGTAAGGAGAAATGAAAGAGGAAGAGATGCGAAAAGTGTATCCTAGGACCAGCCTTTTTATACAAGCAAACTCAATTTTCAGCTGTAGAGGCACAGAGTTGAAGGAAGCCACATGAATTTGGCCACTAGGGTCTCCATTCCTTTTGGACCACATAAATGGGTATCATACATTCAGTGAGCCCAAAAGTGTCCTCAAACTCTAGAGAGTATCATATTCATATACTGTAGCTCTCCACATAGTAAACATTATTAACATATCACCAACAAAGCAACTAAAAGCACTGGTGGTTACTAACTTACTAGTACAAGCAAAAACTCAAGATGATCGATATACTAATGGTCATCAAATAATTTGCATCACATAAGTGCTTTTAAATTTGCAACTGCTGATCATATGGACTAGTAAACCAGATTACTTGAATGCTAGCATATGATATGATATTAGGGACAAAAATCTCACATCGGAAGTTGGAATGGATTCTATCTAGTATATAAAATAGATGGTAGTATATAAAATAGATGGGTCAATCCACTTATCACCAATTGGTTTTAGGTTGGAAGTCCAGCTAGCCTAATAAGGTATGAGAGTCCACAATCCACGCAGTCCAACCCGATCCTTATCGATCCAGCCCAAATTCGGCCCATCAATCCTTGCCCGAACATTTCGAGATTGATGCCAAAGAGCCATCATTTGGAGGGAGCGTAGAAGCCCATCTAGCCAAATATATGATATTAGCAATTTAGCATATCATCATCATCAATAAGGAAGCTAGTAGAGAGTTTGATCTAGATATCATAAGGTAGTAGTGTTGCATCACAAAAGTGTTACATATGATATTAGCATATCATCATCATCAACAAGGAAGCTAGTAAAGAGTTTGATCTAGGTATGATAGTAGAGAGTTTGTTTCCATATCCTATAAAGACAAGTCATGAAACTGTCCATCTCTGACCTGAGAGGCTGAGACATAGCAGATAAAAGCTAATATGGAAACATACTTCCACAAGTTGAAGTATAATAAAGCTGCAATAGAGCTAATTGACCTAGTAGGAGTGAGAGCTAGGGGCCAGTAGGAGTGAGGGCTGGTTAATAAAATCTTAGTAGGAGTGAGGGCTAGGTTCCTAGTAGGAGTGAGAGCTAGGAAATGGAGGATTTGGAGAAGTGAGAATGCTTCTGACATGTCTGAAACCGAATGAAGTTGGATTGTGATGGTAGGATTGAGAAGTTAGTAGGAGCTCAGCATATGGTTGAGAAGTAAACCAAATGGAAAAACAGAGTTTGAGTTAGGATTGTGAGGGAAAGAAGAGCTTTTTCTATTTTCTATTTTATTAAAGTTCTGTTAGAATAAGGTCACATTACTTGTAACAAGGTCTTTCTATTTTGAATTCAATTTAACATTCAATTCAAAAAAAATAAAAAAATAAAATAAAGCTGCAATAAACATAATATATTATTACCATTTGAAAACACTCATGAGGCAATTTTATTACTATTATGGTGATTCAAGTGCATATTTCTACATCAAACATAGACATGTGTTACAGACTAACCTTGTCCTTTTGGACTCCTAGTTTTCCTACAACTTGTGGCTCAGGTAACAGTTGGTGATGGCTCTGGGACTCGGAGATATACCTGGACAGTTATTACAAGGTTCAAGAAGAATATTCAACACGTAAAGTTTACCTGGAGCCACATAGATAAACTCTTTAGCTTTACTTTAAATAAACCAAAGTGAAAATAGTAAAAGGTGGTACTCAAATAGTAACACCACATGGTGTTTATCCTCTTGAGAATCTCTCAATGACAAGTAGCTAAAACATAGCTAATAGCTATGTGCCACATGTAAGCACTTAGATTCGGATTCGATCTGTCTTCTGTTGTTCTTTCACAACAGATAAAGCTTTATTAACCCCTTCTCTCAGACACAATCTTCACACACCATCACACTAACTACATATCTGAAAGTTAACATGTTGAAACAAGAGAGTTATAATAACATTAGTTATAGAGAAAACAACAGAGGGGCACGATCCTGTGACACATGCCAGTCAACCATCTGCACCGTGTACTGCCATGCTGACTCTGCCTACTTATGCAATACCTGTGATGCTCAAGTTCACTCAGCCAACCGAGTCGCTTCCCGCCATAAACGTGTCCCGGTCTGCGAGTCATGTGAGCGTGCCCCTGCTGCTTTTATGTGTGAAGCAGATGATGTGTCTCTATGCACAGCATGTGACTCAGAAGTTCACTCCGCAAACTCGCTTTCAAAACGCCATCAGCGAGTTCCCGTTCTGCCGATTACTGGAAACTCTTGCAGCTCTTTGGCCACCACTCACCACACAACAATGACTGATCCAGAGAAGAGAGAGCTGTTAGTTCAAGAGGATGCCAAAGAGACGGCTTCATGGTTGTTCCCTAAAAACAGTGACAATCACAACAACAACAATCACAACAACAGCAACGACAACAACAACAACAACAACAATGAGTTGTTGTATAGTGATGACTATCTAAACCTTGATGATTACAACTCAAGTATGGACTACAAATTCACCGGCCAATACAATCAACATCAACATAAGCAAGATTGCACCGTACCACAGACAAACTACGGAGGAGATAGAGTTGTTCCACTCCAACTTGAAGAAACAAGAGGAAACCTGCGCCACAAGCAAGAGAACAACACATATGTCTCCTCAGGGAGTCACTACAATTACAACGATTCCATAAACCCTAACGTAAGGCTTGTATATTTGATAGCCCTTTAATACACACAAATCACATATTAACTACCAAACAGTTGATATGTAACACATAGAACTTTGACCAGAAGTTTATAATAATTAAAAAAGTTACTTCTCTTTAGTCCTCTCATCAAGGGGATTGAGAATTGTCTTTCTTTTTTTTTGTTACTAGGGATACAATCCATCAGTGGAAACTGACTTTGTGCCAGAGCCAACAGCACCTGACACAACAGTTTCACACTCAAAAATGCACAAAGGGAAGACAGAGCAACAACCTGAACCTCTAATTCAGATACTCAGTCCAATGGACAGAGAAGCTAGAGTCCTGAGATATAGAGAGAAGAAGAAGAGAAGAAAGTTTGAGAAGACAATAAGGTATGCTTCAAGGAAAGCATATGCAGAGAGAAGACCAAGGATCAATGGACGGTTTGCAAAGATGAGTGAAACCGAAGTAGAGGACCAAGAATTCAACTCAATGTTAATGTACTATGACACAGGATATGGCATTGTTCCTTCATTCTATGGCCAAAAATAATGATTACTAGATTGCAAAAGAAAACCTGTAAAATACTGTTTAGTTTTAGATTCTGTGAGGTCTGGTGAAAGCCAAGAATTATTACTTATGCTGCTATGCATATGAGTCTATAGTTTTGGTGCTAGCTATTACTAATTAGTATTCTTCTTCCTTTGTCTACTCCACAATTGTGAAATATAAGTTAAATGAGTCCTCGTCCATGCCAGGATATTTTTAACACTTCCCTAAGAAGAAGGCTCTGCAAATGATTTTTCAGACCCTGAGACCGCTTTTTAGTATATACATATTTACTCACAACTATTAACACTAATTAAGTAAATTTCTATGTGTATAAAATGGGCCATCGGCATAAACATAAGAGATACTTGCAGACCATCAATACCATTAAAAGAGGATAATTCATTTTAATGAGTTTTTTTACATTTTCAAAATAATTCTTAATGATATGAACAAATTTCTATTTTCATTAATTGTAATATAATCTTTTATTTTTGAGCCTAAAAATAATATAATAATGAATTTCATTAATAGGATAAATTCACTTTCTAATTATTTATGAAATTTCTTTCAAAAATAAACATATCAGCCTTAATTGACGTAGTTAGAGCTGGGAAATTTGATATTAGTCCGCGGGTTGACCCCCGCCACAGAAAATTTAAGTTGTGGGGCGGGTCAAGTGTATTTTACGCGGGATGGGTATGAGTTGTTCTAATTTCAATTGCAGGTACCCGGTAATCCGCAAAGATATAATTTTTTTAAAAAAAATTATTTTTCAAAATATACTAAATTTCGTCAAAATTATTATATTTTTAAAAATATGAATAATTTAATTAAAAATATACTATTTAGTATTATTTTTTAGAAAAAAATTAAAAAGCAATTATTTTTATTATTTAATAATTATTTTCATTATTTAATAATTATCTGCGGGTCTCAAAAATTACCCGCAAAATTAAGTGGAGCGGATGCGGATAAAATATATTTTCCTGACGGGTCGGGTGGGGTGAATTTGACCCGTTTTCCAGCATCAAGCATAGTTAATTGATATTATTTTTTTCAAAATTAAACTACACAATTACATACAATACATTTACATAGATATTGATGATAACAATAAAATCTACAATACATTTACATAGATATTGATGATAACAATAAAATCTGCATTAATTTTTTTTAAGTTATATTAGATATTGACATTTTATATCACCAAAATAAAAGATTATGTAGATAAAACAACAAAAACCCAGGTCAAAAATCTAGTAATATCTTTTAATATATACATATTACTCAGAACTATTAACACTAGTTAGGTAATGCCTATGTGTATATATGGACCATCCGCATAAACATAAAAAACTTTCTTGATGAATCTTGCTCATTATCTTTTAGAATAAAGAGCTATATATGCTTGCTCACTTTACCAAGGTATATGCTGATAAAAAGAGTGACATGGAAAGATAATAGAGACATGACACTGTTACTAAAGATGTCCTTTTTGCCATCTGGATTATGCCATTAGAGCTACGCAGTTTCATTTACAACTCCATGATTAAGCTGATGAAGTCTTTCACGTACCATTCAATAAACATAGCAATGGAAAGATTCGGCTCTACGCATGTATTATAATTGTGTATAAGTGTCACATGAGTTGTTAGTACCTTACCAAGCCTAAATTCTCTACTAAGCTACGCATCACAGGAGTTGTTACTACTATAATTGTGTCTCTTCTTAGAGACTTAAAAGAAGAAAAATATCCAAGTGAAAAAGTGCATAAAGTGAAAAAAGCTTGCTGCACTTTTTAAAAATATCTAAAGATATTTAGATTGTTTCTCACAGCCATGGAAATTTAAAACTAGCACCCAAACTTACAATCACAAGCTTTTTATATGGTCCCTGGACCCTCTCATAGATTCTCACTCTTTTTACGAGAACAAGAAAAGAAATAAGTGATAGTTTACCTTCATCATAATCTTATCTTGCTTTCCTCCACATAATCCAGAGAAAATAACTTACTTGTACATGTGAGAGGAGTTCCTGAACAACCATTACAATAAACTCAAGGAAAAGACACATACTAGCAACGAAGGAAAAGGAAAAAAAAAGAGCAAAGACTCGTTTCCTTGAACCACACACAAATGAAGCCAAGAGCTAGAACCCCTTTTAAAATCTCAACAAGTTTCACCCTGAATCTCAGTTTAAGTTGTATTAGTGGTTCCAGTTAGTGGTGTTTACACTATGAAAAGCTGAATGATAGATGGGCCTGCAAATGAAATCAAAACTACTAAGCCTAGATGCCCACAAGTGTATATCAAATAGTAACACTTGCATACATATATCAAACTAGGTGATTTTCCGGTGCTCATGCACGGGTTAAATATTCATAAAAGTAAAATTTTATAATAATTGATTGATATTTAGTTTTAGTTTTGAATCAGTTTATATATAATTTATATTAATAAATATTATATTATTATAATTATACATAGGACTTTGGATATATTATTGTCAATTTAATTATTTTTTTGGATCAATAGTCGGTTTGGTTATCAATTTGGTATATTACATAGTATCTATTTTTCAAGTTCAGCTATAATATTTTTATTCTAAATATATCAAAACGGTGATTAATTTTCTTATTTTCATTTCGGTTGGTTATTTTCTTAGATATGTAAATATATTCTTAGATATGTAAATATACTATGGTTAAATTATGTATAACTTAATAGATATTGTGCTTAAAATGAAGTGTTTTATTCAAAACTACATAAATGAATATAATGATAATATTTTGAACTCTCATGCATATATATAAATTCTACAAAAGAATTATTGGTTAATATTTTCTTTTTCTTTGTAATATGCTTTTAAAATTAAATATATTATTAAATAAATTATATATTCTTATTGTAGTTAGATGTTTAATTTTGGATATAAATTAGATTAGCCGAGTAATTCTTTTTGTGAGTATATTGAGTTAAATATATTTTTAAATTAAAATTGAAGTATAATTACTTTTTATTTTAGTTAAGTCAAATCAAATTAATTTTGTGTAGCGCTTAAATATACATGTATTTTCATAATATTTATTTACTCTTTATTTTAGTTAAGTCAAATCAAATTATATTTTCATAATATTTATCAAATTATATGTTGATTTCTAAAAAATATTAGAAATAAAGTGTAACTGATAAATTTTTGGATGTTCATGTACATATATATTTTTATTATTTTTAAAATATATTTTATGCTATTTAAAAATATATATTAATGGAGGTATTAATATTTTGTGAACTTTCCTTTTTAAGAAAGTCATATTATATACATATAATTTCGTTTTTAAAATTGTTTTAAAATTTTAGAAATATTTCCTTTTTATTATATATGTTATTTGGAAAAAGGTAAAAAGAAATTACATAAAAAAATAATAATAATCTTAAAAATCTAACAATTCATTAAGGGTATCTATCTAATCAAATATCATGAGAATTAACGTGAGCGCGACATGTAGGAAACTGACTTCTCAAATAATATTATAGAAATATCAAAACTGTGTAAGGATAAATAATCAGCAATAACTTTTCTGAGGAACCTATAAGCCTACATTTCAGTGACTACGGTAAAACCACTTCGTTTTGTAGCACTTGTATTAGAAAATCAGTAGAATGACAAAAGAATCTAATAAGTTTCTTGGCAATTTCAGAAAAACCGAACTTTCTATGAATCATTAGCTAATGGGATAATCGGGCCACTGTCCAGACCGGGTGGATCGGCTCTGATATCATAATAAGTTTCTTGGGCTTTCAACTTTAAATCAATTGGTAATTATTGGAGTGGTCAAAATCTCTTATATATTACTTAAGTCCCCATCATATTTTCGATGTGGGATCTTTAATCCCAACATAATCCAACAAGATGTAAGAGTTACGAAAAGAACATCCTAGTTATGGACAAATACCAGCAGTTTCAACTTCAAGTGATTCAATTGGCTAGTTATGACTTATGAGACAAGTTACAATTACAAAAAAGAATCTCCAATATTAAATTGGAAAATTCAAATACGCCTAACCATAAAAAGATCATCAAATTCGCATATTTGTTGTGATGACTGATGCGTTGAGAACTATCAGAATCGTTTAACATTCAACACCGTTCAACTTTTATAGGCCTACTAGGCTAATGTAAAAACAAGCTCGATAAAGCCCATCAATAAAACCAAGGATCAAGACGTCCTAAATTTGGTTTCAAACTTTGGTACGTTGTTTTTTTTTTTGTTTTTGATAAGAAACTTTGGTACGTTGTTAAACCGTAAGAAAATAATGTTTCAAACGGTGCTAGACATAAATCTGGCGCAATAAAACGATACATTAAAACCCGCTTTTGCTTACGGCCCAAAAAGATATATATATGGGCCGGAATTTGACGGATACCAAAACAAAAAAAACATACAATAGACTAGAGAGAATAAACAACTTATGATGGATGATGAGTTCTAGGATCATCTGTAATAGAAGACAAGTCTTGATCCAAATCATGATCCAAGGAAGAAGAACTATATCTGCCATTGATGCTTCTGCTTCCTCTAACCTTCTTCATCGATGTGATAACTTGATGAAGGGCCAAGTTTTCCTCTTTGAGACTCAAGTTCTCTTTAAGAACAAGATCATTGCTATTCGTGGCTTGGTTAAGCTTATCTAAAATCTGTTGGTTCTCGCTTCTAAGCCAAGCAACCTGCGAGAGAAGCTCATCCAAGTGTCTTTGCTTTCTCATTCTTGACCTTCTTGCTGATTCTCTGTTAGATACCATACGTCTTTGCTTTCTCTCGTTGATGACGAACATATCTTCAGTTGCTTCATCTGACGTGGTGGAGTTGTTGCTTGCTGGAGATTGTAGATTGAGTTCTTGAATTTGAGGGTATGGGATGAGATTGAGATTGTTGTTGGTTGAAGGGATTAAGTTGTTGTAATAATACTGGTTTAAGTGGAAGTAGTCTTGTTGTTGCATGTGGTTAGGACTTGAGATATCATGATTTGGATGCATGGTCAATTTCTTTCGCTCTAAGAGGGTGAGGCAATGGTGGAGGGTCGATGAAAAGAGGTGTTTATACAGCTGAGAAAGCCATACAAGTGGACCATATCTTTTGCAAATTGGTGGCTTTCGTGAAATAATAATAATTTTGATTATGTCTTCTTCTACATGACCCATTGGCATTTTTTTTTCTTTAAATTATTGAGAAGGCTAGTTATTAACTTTTTTAATTTATAGGTCACCACATAAATCTACAGTTACATTTTTTGTTAAACAAAATTATAGGTCTTCATAGAAATCTAAAAATACAGGATTTTTTTTTGTTTTCTTTGTAAAAAATGACTACTAACATTAATAAATAGGTTGTCCCACTGGGATATTGTACTACAACGATCGGTTGATGGCTCGATGCATGAGAAATCATACATTATAAGTTTATAACCATTACATGCATGCATTCATGGTGTCATCACATTAGGATAACTTATATATATGCAGCACCGTCTTACAAAAATTAATGACCTTAGGAAAAATATAAAATAAAAACCCTTTTATACATAATTCTTAATCTTTATTTATTACATTTTTTAAATTAAAGCAAAAAAATTGTAGTATTAAAAAAATAAAAAATGGGGTTTTGTGTGTAAATTAGGTTTATTAATGGAAAATGAAAATAATACAGGGTAGTCATTTTAATTTTTATTATATTTAGATTAGTTTTAGTTAATCATAGATTTTTTTTATAATTTTACTAACTAATTAATAATTAACAAACAAATGGACCTTGTTAATTAGTAAAATAACACTGAAATTATTTTTTGGACTTATAGACCCATGGCATTTGCCTATGTTGTTATGGGTTAGAGCCTGTATGGTATATGGATGTGTATATAGACGATGATACAAGGAAGAAGTACTTCGATCATGGTAGGATTAGTTATTTAGTTTAATAACCAAATGGCAAAGTTGTTTCCGGTGCATGTATGTATAGGGGAGAGTATCATGGCCAGCTAGTGGATCATGTTGTCCATGCATGATTGAACTGCAAAAGGTTTCTATATCATGCCATGCATTATGATAATTGTGACACTTGAGGACTGGGGTATAATATGTATATATTGTGGATAAATCAAGCTCTGGATCAGTGTTATAAAAGTGCTGACATCAGAAAGAAAAATTGTAGTTTATAGTTGTGGTGGGGTTTCAAAATTATTTTAGTTTAGAAACAATAATTGCTTTTGTTAGCCAACATATAAAGTAGTGTTTATCAAAAAAAAAAAAAACATATAAAGTAGTGAAGATAAGTCAATTTGTAAAGCTTATATACTCTATAACTCACCAATTTATTTACAGAAAATTAAGAAGAACGTCTCTTGGACCTTTGAGATTTGCTTCTCTTCTCTAATTAACAGCATTATTATATGGTTTTATGCGTACATAGACTTTCAGAGGTCTTAGATAACATATTAAACCTGTGGTGTCTTCTACTATAATATCACACACAAAGTAAAATCTTAATTATCAAATTAAAATACTGGAAGTGGATAGTTGACCATTCTTTTGGAAATATGATATTTTTTAATCAGAATATGTAGAATATTTTACCCTCTTTTTATCCATGTATCTGTAGGTTTTAAAATGTAGTTTAAGCTCAGAAACAACCATGCCATACTCAAACACAGCCATGCCACACTGAAATTCCAACTATACATTATACATCTAAATCCCACACATACTAATTAATAACCCCTTTATTGCGCATTACGAAATCATTTCAAATCTTCTAGAATCTTTTTCGATTATTCGATGATTCCGGACAAAAACAATCTCCGATACTAGACCTGGGAAAAAAACCGGAACCGAAAAATCCAATCGGAACTAAACTGAAATACCCCAAACCGAAATCTGACCGAAATACTTAAATATTTGAATGATTCCAATATTTCTATATCCGAAAAATCGAACCGGAACTGGAACCGAACCGAGAACCGAACGGGTATCCGAATATCCGAAAAAACAAGTTAATTTTTTTTTAAATAAGATAAAATGACATCAAAGCCATTTGAACCCATGTTAGATACAAAGAGTAATTACATTTTTACCATCAGATCACATTATGTTTTATTTATTCTGTTATATTATAAATATATATGGTATTTCTATATTAAAATATGATAAATATTTATAAAATTAACACTTTGTTGATTCGAACTCTTGTTGGATCGACTAATATGTAAGCGTGTAAACACTAGACCATTTAAATTAACATATTAACTAATATATTTTGTTTATATATATTTGATTTATATATTAAATGGGTATCCGGAACCGAACCGAAACCGAACTGGAATTGAACCGAAACCGAACCGAAATCTCATAAGTACCTATTGAGTATAAGAATGATTTATCCATTATACTCGAAACCGAACCGAATATCCGAATGTCCAGGCCTATCCGAGATTATAGCTAGTAGATATATTGACCAAGTATTCTTGACATTTAAAACATTCACAGTGATTGAACCTGAATGAGTCGTAATCGAACACTAATCTCTTAGTTCACTTAATGAATCATTGGTTCACCATATATAATTGAATTTTCTTTTCAAATGTTACGTATTTAAATCAAGTTGCGTAGAGAACATCGTTTTGATACAAGAAATCTAACTTTTTTTTTCTTTTTTCTTTTTTCTTTTTGTAACACACAAGAAATCTAACTATTATATTATTATATATAGATTCCCGAAGACCACTAATAACAAAAACAAAACCAAACAAAAACTCCTTATAGTTGCACTAGGAAAGCAAGATGTGTTAGGCAGGGTTGGCTTGTCTTTTTATAAAGGCTAAGGCAAAGCCTATAGAACCTAATACATTTTAGGAGCTGATGGACTCAACAACCAACACACTTACAAAATTTATTACAATTTAAGAGCAATATTTATTTGCTTAATTTCACGAGCTAAGTTAAGTTAATTAGATGATAAATGTTATCCCTTAGCTGGTCAAAAAATATGAAGATCGACCAATACCGAACGCATATTGGATCATTTGGCTGTAGAACTATTTGACTTTGTATCATATAACGTCATCAAAATTCAGGATATCGTTTGGTTTTGTCCTATAGTTTCCTGACTTAGACTCGTTGACAATATACGCAATACATAAGCTTTAGAAAAACTTTTTAATCTGTCGGGTAACTGATCAAATGTTTCTCTAAATATCAAATAAGCTAGGCATGCATGGGTTTATTATGATCCATTTGTAAAAAGACGGTATTAACAAAAATATTTGCGAAATGGCCTAATATTGGACGTCCTACAGTTAAGACTTTTTGGGTGTTGACAGAAAGTCAGAAAGTTACATAAGTATAGTAATACGGCTTTTTCGTTAAAGTTATTTTTCTCAGAAGTTAATTTCAGCTTTTACTGTTTTAGTGATGACATACTAGCTACTTGAGGAAACCACGTTTTCAAGAGACACCCTAGTTTCTGTTCTTGGATTTTAGATCAAATAAACATTTGCGATATAAGCTCTGATGTTATAGATTTTAATCTCAAACCGACTGGTATTATTGAATGAAAAATAGTTAAGACCCATTAATACTCTTTTTAATGTGTAATTCACATCACCTAAACTTTTTTTTGAAAGATACCTTAAACTTTGTTGACTGACTTAAACCTTAAGTTGCATAATTTGAGTGTGTACTGTGTTGGTCAAACGAGAGGCAAATACACACCTTCAGGTCATATCATTCAGACAAAGTCTAGTTCTTCTTTATTTCAGTGTCATGTCCTTTTGCTTGGTTTGTTCTCCTTCCTTTCCACAGCCTCAAAGTTTTCTTTTCTCTTATTTCTGTTCTTTTTACCTTCCTTTCTTTTTATTTTTTTGGTCAAGTTTACCTTCCTTTCTAATTTGCTTTTTTTCTTAGTGTTTCCTTTATCTAATATATTTTTTACTGGATCATAAACTATATATAAAGTATTTTAAATGTTTACTGTTTTGGTCCCATCAGTAACACTACCACCTGATACTAGCCTAACTTTTTCTAATTTTTTAAAAAATAATTCTCTTAGATCTTCTATCATATAAAGAAAAATGCAAACTGAAATCTAATGTAATTAGTAATTACCAAGATAATTTGTGGTACCGATATATCCTCTTCTAGCCAATACCATCTACATTTGTTCCAACAAAACAAAAAGAATCTCAAAAAGGTGAACTATTACTCGTTTTCTTGCCATATGAGAATTTGAATTTGAATTCCGGATGATCTTCTTCGTTAACCAATTACCAGTATATTAGTTATTGATTTTTGTCTAAGCCGTATATTAGTTTAATGAAAAATGGATGATGTCACGATGGTCTAACTGATTGGTGGATTAAGGATAAGCCAATCACCAAAGGCAAAGTTTATTATATCATCACACCTTTTCCAATATTACAACTCCACTTCTCTTATTTTTATAAAAACTTTATTATTTTTCTCTTTTTTCTAAAATTTGGACCACTTTATAATTATAGACCCAATTTATAGTTTTGTATTGTTTTCGTTCGTGCCAAAAACATCCCCTCCAAAGTTGCCAAATGGAGAATACACACAAATGTGTGTTAATAAATAGAAATGCCTAACTTGTTATAAAACTACTATATAACTACTATTAACAACAAAACTACACAAAATATAAACAATTTTTTTTTACTTTTGAGTTAATTATTTATACCATTAAGCACGGATACGTATCCATTTTCCTCTAGTTGAATTGATAGAAGGATGCGAATAAAGGCCAAAATCATGAATGAGGTGCTTCTAATAAATTTTTTATTAATTAAGGTCTTGCTCCACTATCACTGCCAATAATGTAGATCATTATCGTCAGTCGTAATCATAGATATTATGTTTGTTATTAATTTACCATGACTAGCAAAGGGTTATAAACTTATAATTCTCACAAGACCTACTTGTCATTGCCTAATTATTTTCCCTAGTTTTATTTTAGGTTTTGAAATATTTTTTGTTTATTAAATTAGTTTTATGCTTGGTATCCGAGTATATCAAGTGCATGCATACATGATACATGCAGTTCACATGCACAGTACATGCATGCACAATGCATTTGTCTCTATAGATATTGGTGATGATGACATGAATCATCTACACTGGATGTTACATTGTGGTACTAATTAGTCTTGGTTTCATTCAAGTAGTATTACGCGTCTAGTATATTCAAGTTTACTAGGAGTGTCCGTCTCATCATTTCTGTCAACCTTGTGCAATTTTAATTTCATGAGAACAAGTAAAATAGTTTTGCAAAAAAAAAAGCCTTATTTTTTAAAGTCTCTAAATGCTATAAGAAAATTGGGAAACTCTCTCAAAAGATCCTAAGATATGTTTTTTTTAGCAAAAAAACACACAATGAAAAAATAACCAAAAGAAGTTTCATTAAAGAGGAAATCATTCTACCATTATTTTGCAGATATATAAATATTCTAATTGTTAAAAAAACAAAAATATATATAATTTTCAGAATTAAAGTTGTATATATTTTCGACATTTGAAAAATATTTTTTTAAATTCTAAAATTCATTTTGAAACTACATTAAAAAAATTTCTTTAAAAATTACATTTAAAAAAAATTCTAAACCCCATTCTCCAAAACTTCATCCTTCAAATCTAAATCATATATCTAGATTAGTTAATTCTAGAGATATAACTATTTATTTACCTTTTTAAAAATTTATTTTGGTCATTTTAAGTTTTTAACCCTTGTTGGGTATATTTATGATAAAAATAAACTTGATGATCGATCCTTCTGGTGAATTTCCCTACAAAATGTGCAAATTTTTGTACTTAGTGCAGACGTTTCTCTTGCACATGTCAAGAGACTGCATTAACTAGGACGTATGTATTTGAGTGTTGAAACATTTCCATATCATTTTTGCTTGATATTAGTATGAATATGTATCTAGGTTGTAAATTTGGATACGGCTAATAACATTGTATATTGCATGAGATGTATTAGTCTGAATTTTGAACATTGGTCTAAGGATAGTTCATGTCCTTAAGGAGAAGATGAATAGAATCCAAAGAGACAAGATGACAAAGTGGGAGAACGTCACTGAAAATTTGAGCTCGAATTTCAATCCCAAAATGATTGAGGTAATAATTATCAAATGAAACTTTAAAATGGTGTAATGAATTTTTTGATGTGATGTTATTCACCCACCCCAACTACAAATACGTTTTAAATTCATGTTTTTTCTTGCAATTGTTTTAATGCACTTCTTCAATCATTTTAATCGAAACCAGATCCACACAAATAAAGTTTAAAATCACCTACAAATCAACTATTAAAATAATAAGTTTATTGAATGTATATGGTTGATGTGGACAACAGATGGTTTAGAGGAGCTTATAATCTTTTCAAATATATTTGTATAGAATTTATATGTGGAGTATATATAATGTTACATGGAAGGAGAAAAGGGGCATAATTATTGAATGTGAGGATAACAAACAATGTTGAGCCAATTGGGCATCCAAGAGCCAGAAAGAAGATGTCTATGACAAATAAAATAAAATAATTAACAAAACTCGACACTCGATGTTTGAAGTTTGGCTCTTTGGATATGTAGAGTCACTAGACAGAAAGGAGCCGGCCACTCCCATGTGAAAATGACTAATTAACTTTTCTATATTTTTACAATCTAATTCGTAATGGGATTCGGTTTATTTCTGTATATTGAAGTAGTTCACTGAAAGAAACATGGAAATATTAAATAGAAAACTAAAGTTTAGAAAATAGCTAACAAAATAACATCGAAATATCTAGAATTATCCTGGGCAGCACCATTTATAATCTTTATAAAAACTTAATATATTAAAAAAAAAAATATTGTGTGACATGAAACATGTGAATCATCGTTATAAATTTTGATTATTGCAAGTGATTTTAGATGTTGGTTTAAAATATGAGCATTACTCGCACCTGAAGTTAACCGCGGTTTATGATCTGATTGGTTTCTTAACTGCCACTCACATACACAGTTGGTAGTGATTGTTAGCGTTACGTTATAAATCAGTTTAAATAGTTTAAAATCTTTCAAAATAAAAAGTTGATTCTAATTAATATTTACGGTTACGAGTGTTGCAGTGGATAAATAAATGAAAAATTTACAAAAATTAAAATAAAAAATTTAAACTGTAATATTATAAATAAAAATATTTAAACTTTATATTTAAATTTAAATTTAAATTTACTAAAATATCATATTTTATAAAACCTTAAACCAAGAATATCCCCTATAGTTCTGAACTTATATATATATATACATATATACATATACATAACTGAATCAACATATTCTTTAAGAATTTCTAATATAAATTTCCAAAACAATTTTTTTTTTGAAATTATAACTTTAATCTAGATGTAAACAATAAATAAATAAACACAATATTTTGTAATTATTTTATTTATCATAATAGTTTATTTTGATATTTTTAGAGTGAATTGGGTAGAAATCCATAAGAAAATGGGAAATTAGGGATTTGCCATTTTTGGTGGGGAAAAAAATAATGTGTGGGGAGGAGAGATAAAGGAAGAAATAGGGTATGGAGTGAATTATGAGGTTTAGTGTGTGTATGGAGTGCAAATACTCATATTTTTATAATGTTATTGTATGTTAATATTGATATATTTCATAATCAATCAGTCATTAAAATAATGCAAACATACCAATTTATAACCGATGAGTCAATCGTACAAATCGCTTAACAACTCTAAAAATTGCAGCTACTCTTATCCATAAACTCTCGCAATCGTAACCTCTATGTTTCAACCAACCACTACGTTTCAACCAGTCAAATCCCAGAACTATCAATTTTTCAAAACTAACAAAAAAACACGTGTACACAATATAACTGAAGATAACATGATTGGAGTTGATGAATACACATAAATTTCTTAACTACCATTAGGGGTGAGCATGAATCGAATACTAGAGTATTTAGAGGTGATCCATGATGTTATGTTTGAATGATCAATTATCCGATTCGATTCATTCTCTAGTCATACTGAATATTCGAGGTCCTGAATATCCGAGAAATTTTAAAATTTTATTCGAATATCTAATCCGTACTAATAAAATAAATAAAATTCAAAATAATATAAAATAACAATATTTTATAATAATAATAAAATATTAATTTTATAAATATTCATTACTAATATAATAAATAAAAAAATATATTACTAATATAATAAATAAAAAATATATAAAATATAATATTTATATAAGTTATATATATATATATATTTAAATATATGCATATAACGGATCAAATATACATTCTTAAAACTATTAATACCTATAATTTGTTTCATTTTTTACAAATATTATATATTAATTTGATTTGTTTATAGAGTTACGAATATCCAAATAAATGAATAATGAATAAATCCAAATTTAGCTACCATATCAATGAATCCAGGTGACAGGCCTATAAAATTCAGGGATTTAACAGTGGGCTCCAAGCCCGTATGTTGAATTAGCTACGGTCCATATAAGACAAAATTAAACCGGACAAAATTCATAATTTTATTACTATTGTATTCATTAACCATAAGCTGGTCACAGTCACATGACCCGTCCGTATTGGACTGGACTAGACCTTGTCTGGGAACATCTCTAACAAAACCAAACCAACTCTGACGTGCCTGCCTGTATTTGGCAGCGTCTATAAGCAAAGATAACACACCGATGGTAAAAAACACACGAGTTATGCTTTACTTTCCACACATCAAACACAATCATCAAAAGACTCTTGAAGAAGCTATCAAAATCACATCTACAAAATTTAAATTTCACATTTAGAACCTAACCAAAGTCGAAATGACAGTTACTTAGTTAATAAACAAACAGAAATTGTAATTCATAGCAACATCCAAGAAATTTAATGAGCCTAAATAGCTTGAAGAACCAGATATGCTGCAAACGTTCCTATCGAATCCCTTTTATCTGACTAAAACCAGTATGTACATACATACATCATCATCATATCAAATCAAGAACCACAAAGATTACTTCATCTAACTCAGGCATCACATCCGTGATCTATTCATTACACACACAATATCATCATCATCATCAGTAGGTAGCTCATACCGACAAACCGGGCATGTGTTCTTCATCCCCAACCAAGGCACTATACACTCTCCATGATAGTAATGCCTACAAGGAAGCCTCCTAACTTTCTCCTCAACAACCAAATCACCAATGCAGATCGCACAAACAACGCTCCCATTACTCAACTCTTCAGAAGTAATCTCCACAAGAGGAAGATCATCAACAAACCTTTTGGAAGCTGGACGAGTTGCCATGATTGGAGGAGGAGGCTGGTCTTGATTGAATGGATGGGGGTGAAAAAAAGCATCAACGAAATCTGCATTAAGTTCATGTAAAAGGTCTCCGTAATCGAAATCCATGAAAGAAGTGACTTCCATCGCTTCCATCAGTATATCTTCAGCAGCCTCTACAGATTCTTCATAAAAATCGTTAACAGTTGAAAAATCCTGACTTTCTAGATTCTCCAGAAAGAGATTAGCATTTGATTGTAAAGCCAATTCCTCTTCCTCTTCCTCTTCCTCTTCCTCTTCTTCCTCCTCCTCTTCGTCTTCTTCTTCTTCCACAGGATCTAATTCCAAAGTGATACCATTCTGCAAATTCTCCCACTCGAGCACTTCATCAGCCATCAACAAAGCTTCTTCCTCGCAAAACAGATCACCTTCAAAAGGAGCAAGATCCGCACCAACTTCGACCCGACCCGAATCGGATTCCTTATCCCCTGATCCTGACCCGGCCCCGATTCCGAGCCCTAATTCTACCGATTCATCTTCCTCCATCTCACCAAATCCTCCATCGCACACCGTTTCGATCTCGTACGACTCTCTACCGAAGAAATCGATGAAGCAGTTATCCAGATCCGATTCTGTATCCATAGGAAACGATCCAGACTCAAAGAAACGGGTATATAGATGATTGGTTTCGCTATGAAGCAAACCTGAGGACGAACTTGTAGCTTCGCCGTGCGATTGAGTAGTAGAAGATCGAGAAGTCTCACCGGTGATTGAGCTGACACCACCACTTCCACCTCCTTCTTTATCCTCTGGTTCGATGTTAATTGGATAACCGAAGAGTTTCGCCATTGCTAATGCTGAGAGAAGATGTTTCGTCTTTTTTTTTTTTTTTATGAGAAGGGGAAAAATAATATAAAAACGAATCGTATATACACAGTTTTATGACGGTGTATCTCTATATGTGTGGGCCAAGATTATGCCACGTAATACCTACAAAAAAAAAAGGGAAAATAACAGTTTTGGAAATAAAAAATTGTAAACGCCGTTGCCGGAGATCGAACCCGGGTCACCCGCGTGACAGGCGGGAATACTTACCACTATACTACAACGACACTTGTTGACTATTTTGTCTACTTTTGCTAATTATATTTCTTTACTAACATCTCTAAGTAGTGATGTCTCTTTGTAGTTCTTAAACTGAATGCAGCTGAGACTGTCTCTGTTCGGATGTAGTGCTTTAAAGATAGTATGAGGCTACTGAATAGCAAATTCAACCAATACAAGATAATATAGTTGAATAGTCGAAATTTATAAGTTCAATAAGTGTGCTTGGATCAAAAACGCAGAACATGATGACAAATGGTTCAAATGAATTAAAGACAAAAAACTCTTTTGCAGTTTAAAATCTAAAATTTCTTGTGTAAAAAGCATTAACCTTCTATGATGTTCAGGTACTATCCTCTGTTATCTTCTGGCGTTTCATCTCTGGCTCATCCTCAATGTTATCTCCTTCCTTCCCTTCTACTTCAGCTCCTTCGTTATGGCCATTGAGATGACCGTTGACTGCTTCATGACCAATAAGCGAGACGTGCTTGCTTGTGATTTGACGACCAGCCCTAACCTTAGGTCCCCAATGCTTCTCTGGATTTGGCAGAAACCTCGCTACTTTCTTCACTTGTGCTTTGCTAAGTGAACCAACCTGGCGCGAAAAGTCAGCCTGTCCAACAGAAAAAAAAAAACAACGTTTACTTGGAACTTTATTGACATTAAATTAAAGAATGAAGCATTATAACAATGGCAAGCTAAACAAGGACCTGGTGTGATGGTTCTTTAAATAGAATCACACTTCCTGGATGGTCAGGTGACTGCGCCTTCACAGGATGATTCTTCACCTATAACCAAAAACAGTTTATATCAGTATCAACATCACCCTGAGGAAGAATACAGTTAAAAAGCTTATGCTTTTATTCTTTAGTTTTACCCAGCAACGCATGATGTCCCAAATAATCTCCATTGGAGCATCAGTTTTAATCCCGAGAGGGTTCACATGTGACCCGGAGACACGGTACTTTGCATTTATCACAGCTGATCTAAACATAACAGCTGAAGGTGAAGTACATTTCAGCGTTGCAGCTAAACTATGAAGGCTCAAAAATAGTGGAACATCTGGCAATTCCTGGAGACAAAGCCAAACATATATGGAAGTTAGATGCATATTGACACAAACCAAAAGTTTTTTCGGAAGGAGAGTGGCTTTGCCTCTGAGATTGTGGTAAGCATTGAGCAGATCTTGTCGTAAGCAGGATATCTGTCTTTCATGGACTTAACACCATTTAGTATCGAAGTCACCCATTCTTGATCATGCATTGGAGCTGACCATATCGGCCCACCCATGTTGTATTTTTTCCCACAGTGAGTGCAATCCTGAGGAACAACAGGACCTACTCCTGCTTGATACCTCACACTGTTATGCTGCCAAAAGAGGATTATAATAAGGCGACTTTCAGTAACTAAGTATGCAAAGAGATAGATATGAAACCTTAGGAAGAGATCTTCCAACAGATTGAAGATGAAAGGAATCACAACCAATGCATTGATAGACATAAGAGAGCTTTAGTGGAGTGTTCTTCATTGCACTCGCCGAACTGCATTTCATAAAGCTTCTTCAATCTTTATTTGCTTCTAGTTGAGGGAAGTGTTTGGAGAGAGAAAACTTACGTGTACACGCGGACGAAAACACGGACGTAGAAATCAATTTGGACTGATAGAACAGGGACAATATACCGTTTGTAGCGGTTAGCGTGGCTCTGCAAATCAAACAATATGACCAAAGTAAAATACTAATAGAGAATCTTAAAGAAACAAACACATTCCGGAAGATTTGGTGTGAGAGCAAAAAAAAATTACCTCAATGCTGGCGAGGAGGATCCTCAAAGCCATCTCATGACAATATTTTCCTTTCAGTGGATAGGAACCATATCTAACAATAGACATATATGTAAGAAATTAAGACAAGGTCATAGAGTATTTTGTCTTCAGAAGGTCAAATAAATACTTACTTGGAATAGCAAACCTCGCCATTAGCACCACACAACACTGCCATGTCAGTTGCTGTACACATCAGCAACCCACCATCGGCAACTGATTGAACAGCTGAATCAAGAAAGATAGACGGCGCACCATATGGATCAAGATCAACCTAAGACATCATTAAACCAAATTAGTTAACACAATAAGACAGTCAATAAGATGAGAAACTTTCAAATTTTTAATACTAAATGAGCAAGGAAAATTGGAGGCCATACCACATCAAATTCTTTTGGATTGGTGAGCATATGGACACGAGCATCAGTAAGATGTGACTCCACCTTTGAAGAAGACATCAAGCCATTGAACTTTATGTTTCTCTGGCATGCTTCAACCGATGCTTTAATAGAGACAAAAGGTAATACTTTATTATTCTGAGAAGTTAAAATAGAAATTTTAAAACGTTTAACAAGCATAACTGTTGGGAGAAAAGAAGTACCTGGGTCATTATCTAAAGCCACAACTTGACCAATTCCTTCCACTTCACGAGCATATCTCAAAGCTCGCAACCCGGAAGCTGACAGGGCCTACAATGTTACAATCACAAGAAAATTTTATTCAACAGAAAAGCACAACTAAAAAAAAGTAGAGTTGTTACAGTCATAAATGAAAGAAAAGAGGCAGACCTCAAGCACTCTTGGTGGCTTGAGTTCCCTTCGGACCGGTTCATATGTGGTCTTAGCAGCTTCCTTCGGTCCATCCTGAGCATGTTCTTCTCCGTTGGTTTTACCATTATCTTCACCGTTCTCATTAGGAGTTCCTTCCTTGGAAACTCCAGAGACATCCTTTTCAACCACTTTACCAGATGATCTAGCTCTTTTAGATAACATCGCCTCATGCTCTTGCTTGCGTTTGGAAATAAACGCCCTTAGGACAGCAATGGACATATCCCTATTATTCACCTAACAAAACACACAATAATCAATAAGATTAGCTCACAAACGAAATAATTTTCATACAACTAAAGCGTGTGTTACAGTCTTCATATTCCTTTTATTTTCTCACAAACACAAAATGAAACTCTAACTAGTAACAATTGGAAGCAAAAGCACTAAACTTGCAATCTAAAACAAAAGACAAACCCCCAAAGCTAATAACTTGACATATCCCGAGATTGCCCTAAATGTAATTCAATCAAGAAGAAGAACCTTTGTAGCAAATTAAACCAAATAAGAAATAGAGAAAGAACAAGAAACCTGAGCTTTGTTGAAGAAGACTTGATTCTTCTTGTGCATAAGAATCTCAGCTTCACCTTCCTTAATAACTGTATAATCATTTAGATCTGTCTCCATTTCTGAACTCAGACTCTCCTTCTCTTTAGGGACAGAAACTGAATTAACAAAACGAATCTGTAACCCGAACGGCGAATCAAAAAGGTTGAAGAGATGTCGACAATACTTGTCGGCTTGTCTGAATGAGGATAGATGAAACGCTATCGCTTCTTTTTTTTTGGTTGAAGTTTCAGAGAGGAGTGTGACGGAGTAAACAACCAAGTTTTTTTAAACCCTACAAATCCGTGTGTAGGAGATTTCACAATTTTCCTTTACTTTTTTTATTGGGGTGAAATTGATCATATCAAAACATACGGGGTGCCGATAATAATAGTTAAAAATATAGGATTAAAAAAGGGAAAAAATGGCCTATACAGGGATCGAACCTGTGACCTTCGCGTTATTAGCACGACGCTCTAACCAACTGAGCTAATAGGCCGCATGTGATAATTGATATTGATGATAACTGAGAACAAAGAATAATACACGAGGGGAGAAAATAACAAAAAGATATAAATAAAAAAAGTGGCCTATACAGGTATCGAACCTGTGACCTTCGCGTTATTAGCACGACGCTCTAACCAACTGAGCTAATAGGCCAACTTGTTATATACTTCTTTTAAAAAGTCTTTATTGTAAAAACAAGCTTGATTAGTTGAGGATATCATTATCAAGGTAAGGAGTAACGGAAGAAGAGGTGAGAAAGAGAGAGAGGATGCAGAGTTTAACACCAAACGAAGCTGCGGGTTTCGCAGTGGGAGCTCTGCTTCTGGGTGCCACCATCGCTGCTCCAAAAGTTGACGCTTTCATTGCCGCTGCTCAGAGAAGGTACACAACTTTCATTATCTCATGATCTCCTCAATCTTTCTTGTTCTGAGTCATAAAGTATCAGACTTTGGATGTGAATTGTTTTTCTGGTTAGAGTGTTATTGACGTATGAGATAATGATGCTTTTGTAGTAACTGTGTATAGAATTTTGATTCTTCTCAATCTACTGAACATGTGGAAATGATAAAACTTTAAGAGTTTCTTTGTGATATGTTGTTTGATATCTCTACGAAAGGATAGAACCGTCTTTCAATCTCTGATGGGTTCTTCTAAGTTCTCACCAATGTTAAAAGTATTGGTCTTGAGCTTGAGTGTTGCTGTCTTGTAGCTGAAATGAAACTAGATTTGTTCTTGAATCTATTATTCATACAATCCTATGTTTCTGACAAACAAAACTCAACAACTTTTGCAGGTCTCTTGGGATGTGCAGGAAATGTGGAGATGTAAAGAATGTAGCATGTGGTCGCTGCAAAGGAACAGGGTCGATCAAATCAGGAGGTATCTTTGGATTCGGTGAGCCAGAACCATCAAACGCGAGATCAGCAACTTGCGATAATTGCCAAGGCAGAGGTTGTTTCCCTTGCCCCGAGTGCTCAAAGTCTTGACTCCTTTTTTCTTTGGTTATTCAATATATTGCCTCAATACTTTGATAAACTACTTTCGTTTCATCTTCTTGACCTTATGATCTATACATAATCAGCCCAGTGGTAATGTTGAAATTGAAGCATACCTAGTCTAAATTCGTTTGAGAAGTCTCTTATTCCTGTTTCTTTTTATCAGATTGGCAGTTTGATTTAGCTGAACCGGATGGTTGGTGGATTATTGGTTATGTTAGTCTTAACCGGGTCTTTGTTTTTTGTCAACAGTCTTAACCGGATCTTGTGTCTTTAAAGCAGATAAATAAATTAGTAGTAGTAACCAAGAGCTCTTCTTGTCCTATCTTTCTTTAAGCAAATAAGCTTAGGTGCATTTTAGGACTAGTGACTTCATGTTATTGTTTTTGGCATTTGGAACCAAATAAAAAACTCAAACCATCATTTCAAAACAAAGAAAGTTGATTGGGTGATAACTAGAGATATGTCCCAACTTAATTAGCTTCATACAGACCACGGACTTAATAGAAACGTGTGAAATGAAATAATGATTTGAGTCAATTTTAACTTTTAAGCATTGACTATGGTTAGTATTGCGAATAAAATTATGAACGGTATAAAATGTAAATAACGAAGACAAGTAGACAAGTCACTGTTAAAAAGGAGGCTTTACCTCAGCGATCACGCTTCCGATAAAAGTCTAGTTCAATCATGACTCGACACGTGTCCGTCAGACCACATCACCCATCTTGTTACTGTTCAGATTTTTTTCTACTGTTTTTACTTTTTAGTTTTTACCCGCTGTGAATCCGTACGGACTTCCCATGTCACCTGAAGGTTTTTTACGCTATGGTAGATTCTCTGCAACAACAAAAAAAAATTTCTTTGTACATTTCAGTGGCTTGATTTAGTTTCCTAACTGAACAAATATATTGATGTAATTAGCAATTGCAATCCAGAAATAGATAAATTCCACTCTTTGGAATAATAAACTTTAACAAAAGATGCATCACACTTTATTTAATTGATGTTTTGGAACTTTGACAGCGACTACATAATTTTGGAGATAATTTTTAATATAACAAAAACATATACTTCATCCGTTTCAGTTTAATTGTCATTCTACGTTTTTACACACAGATTAATAAAACATTTAATTTTACATATTTTCAAGATAAAAACACAATTACCTATACACCTAACCACTTTTCAACCAATAAAAAATATAATATTATATAACTAATAAATTTTGCCTCGAAACTCTAAAACGACACTTAATTTGTGACAAAAATTAGTCCTAGAATGACAATTATTCTTAAACGGAGAGAGTATGTATTATGTATATATTTTGTCCCTTTGTTAGAACTTAGTTCCATTTTGGTATTTGCTTCGAATGTTACGGATATTTAATTTTGGTATTTTATTTACTTCGAAAAATACGAATATTTGGAAAAACGGATATCCATAAAATAAATAGATATTTACGAATATTTATGAATATTTACGGATATCTCATCCATTTTGATTAATACAAATAATTTTAAGATTTTGATACAAATTTGCTTTGCAAAAATATTGTTTTGCATGATATATAAAATAAAAATTAAAAGAACTAGTGAATTTACATATTTTGTAATTTTTTAAGTTTAAGTTACAATTATAATAACACAAAATTTAAGGAAAAAATATAATTGTCATAAAGTTTTTCTCTCTTTTATGTAATACTTTTATATAAGTAATAATGTTAATAGAATTGTTCAAAATTATGTGTTAGAATAATAATTATATAATTTTATACATTTAAAATTTTAAATATAATAAAGATATACATATATTATATATTTCCGGATCGGATCGGATATCCGTTTCCCAAAATTTTAATATTTGTGATTTGCTTCGATTTTAACGGATATTGAATTTGAGTATTTGCTTTGATTTGAAAGTTTACGGATATCCGAAATTTTCAGATCGAATCGAAACGAATAACGAATCGAATCAAATATAACGAATAAAATGTCCAGCCCTACCATCACCTACATAATTATCACACAGATTTATATTAAGATGCATTGAAATAATACCTATACCTGAAAACAAATCAACCTCAAAAGTTTTATCAGAAAAACATGGAGACTAAGAATTTCCAGCTCTCGGTATAAACAACATATGAAGGATATATATTCCGCACTTGATAAATTTACAAAAGCGTTATGATAAATGTGCGTTAAGCTAGCATAAGCTGCATGTTCATGGTAAAAATCGTGCTAAGAAATAAAATAAGCAAATATTACTTGCATATATATGCAGTTTCACACAGAAATCTTGAATATTTAACTGCACCGTCATAGTATGACTTGGGAAGTGAACTGCGACGGCTTGAGCTTTCCTACAATACGATCATTTGCTAGTTTATTTTTCAAAAGCTCACATTTTTCTCTCTATCTTGGTCTTGGCCTAGAGGACTTTAGTACCCATAATTAACTCTTCCAAGCAACGCAACGCTATGCATATATTCCCAAGTTAATTTTACCTGGTCTTAATCTCGCAACTTCATAATCATAACTTGAAAACAAAAGTAAAGCATAAGTGCGCAAGTTGTAGTAGATCTGAATATGATGCGCGTGATAGTGTGAATATATGCCTTTAAATTTTTTTCAACTAATGCAGTAAATGAAAGCAACGTATCATATCATTTCTGGTTGTTTTCAGAAGCCGCAGAAAAACATCTACTACCTTAAAATGGGTTTCTCACGTGTCGATTTCTTATTGGATATGACTATTCTTTGTTTTTAAATCCAAGTTCAAGAAACAACAACAAATGACAGTAAAGATGTAAACATATCTTCCTAGTATCTCTTTTATACATACGTATTAGTCACCACGAAAGGAAGAGTGTAACTTCAATTTATATACACATATGCATCGACCACGACTCACGAGTATGTATAAATTACACCAATTTTCTTAACATATCTATAATTAAAATTTGACTTATAGCTAGATGTGTAATTGACCTTTAGGCCGCATGTGTTTAGTTACTAGTCAAACCTCATAACTCATAAGTGATACGTTTTCTTAAAAGGTTGTTTCATTATATTTAACAAAACATAAACGATTTGTTATTATGATATAAACATAGAATTCTTGAGAAAACATATGTTTAGATATTTTAGTATAATGTCAGACATATACACCTAAAAATAGTAGACAACATGCATATAGACATGAATTCTACCTGAAGAGAAGCACATACATTTTCTAAATTGAATAATTTTCAACTCCAATATGTTCCCTAGCTACAAGTTAAAAATTACCCATTAATTTGGTAATAAATCGTTTGGGAGGGTAAAAACTAAACGTAAACCAAGTTACACCACGCGCGTAAAGAGCGCGTGTGGATGTTTTTCTTTTGTCAAAGAGAGAGAGCAAGAGAGATGGCTTGAAATGAAAACACACCAAACCCTAACCTCATGAATCACAAGTTTCTTATCTTGTACTCCCACTAGATTCTATTCTACAAAAGAAACTTCAATTAGGTTCACAACCACTTCCAAAACAAAGAACCCTAAACTCAAAAGTTTCTTCTTCTTGTTTCCTTACCGTTTCTTGTTCTTGAAAAATTAGGGTTAATTTCCTTTTTTCTCTTAAATCAATTCTCTAGACCTTAAAGATCAGATCTTTCCTCAGAAAAAGAGATACCCAACTCATGTTTTTGTGTGTCTGAATATAGATAAACATCACATATAAATATATATTTGTGTGTGTAAAAGAGGAAACTAATACAAGGAAAAAAAATGGGAAGGGGAAGAGTAGAGCTCAAGAGGATAGAGAACAAAATCAACCGACAAGTAACGTTTGCAAAACGTAGGAACGGTTTGTTGAAGAAAGCTTATGAATTGTCTGTTCTTTGTGATGCTGAGGTGGCTCTCATCATCTTCTCCAACCGTGGCAAGCTCTATGAGTTTTGCAGCTCCTCAAGGTAATTAATCACTTTCACTCTCTCTCTCTAATTTTTTTAAAAAAATCATTTGTTTTTGATAGATCTGAGCATAGATCTTTGTCTGATCAAACTTGTTTTGATAAATCACACGATCTTAGTGTTTATGAAAGTGTTGACCTTTAATTATTAGATTTCTTGATTTTTAATATTTAGTTTTGATATTTTGAAATTTAAGATCTGATCTCTTTTTTTTTTTGTAATCTTTTGACAAAGAATTAAAGCTCATGAGAAGTTTGCAATTAATTCATGTTTTATCATGTGTGTGTGTGTGATTAGAAAACTTAAAGGTTGGATACACAGATTTCTATGGAAATAAGAATCCAACGTAGAATGATAATATATGGTTCCATGCATTAACCGACTGTTAGTTCATACTTTATGGTGGTTAAAACTTAAAACGTGTGTGTATCTATGAAGCTTCTTTAATTAGTTTTTAGTTTTTTTTCATTTTGATAGTTAATGCAAATAATATTTGTATTACTTGTAAATTAAATACAAATCCAGACATATAGCGTTTGAAGCAAAAATAAGTAAATAACAATAAAAAACATGTGTATATATGTGAAGTGTGAATTTATTATTGAGAATCATCTTTAATTTGATAGGAAAATATTGATTAAAAAGTTATAGAGACAAGCTAACGTGTCTGATGATGATGAGTTAGGTTTGTGTCAAATTATGTCAAGTCTGTTCTTCTTTGATTACAAAATTCTTATCCTCTTTAACTTGTGTGGTTTTCCCTTCAGCATGATCAAGACACTGGAACGGTACCAGAAATGTAGTTATGGTTCAATTGAAGTCAACAACAAACCTGCCAAAGAACTTGAGGTGCTCCTCTTTATATTTTAGGTTTATGTATCACATCATTTTCAAGAAAGATCTTATGGTTTTTCCTTGGTGTTTCAGAATAGCTACAGAGAGTACCTGAAGCTTAAGGGTAGGTATGAGAGTCTTCAGCGCCAACAAAGGTCAATCTCTTTCTCTCCCTATATGTATATATATATACACTTGTGTCATATATTCTTATTTGTGTGTATGTGTCTATATATGTTGGTGCAGGAATCTTCTTGGGGAGGATTTAGGACCTCTAAACTCAAAGGAACTAGAGCAGCTTGAGCGTCAACTAGATGGCTCTCTCAAGCAAGTTCGCTCCATCAAGGTCATATCATAAGCTTATTTGTAGCTATATATACACACATATACATTGAATGATTCATTGAGGGTAGTGTGTGAAATGTGTTTTGTTTTTTCATTATGACTTTTACATATATATGATTGTTGCAGACACAATACATGCTTGATCAGCTCTCTGATCTTCAAAGCAAAGAGCAAATGTTGCTTGAAACCAATAGAGCTTTGGCAATGAAGGTACATGCAATTTGATGAAGATCATGTTACTGCTATATCAATCTCTTTCACAGCCTTTGAAGTTATTAACATTTTGGTGTACAAATGTAATTAGCTGGATGATATGATTGGTGTGAGAAGTCATCATATGGGAGGAGGATGGGAAGGCAATGAACAGAATGTTTCGTACGAGCATCATCAAGGTCAGCCTCAAGGACTATTCCAGCCTCTTCAGTGCAATCCTACTCTGCAGATGGGGTAAATCCTTTGTGATCTTTGCCTTGAAAATTTATCTGCAAACTAGCTTGTCTACTTCACTACTAAGATTGTCATTGTTTGATTGTATTTAGAAGACCATCAATGTATAATTTACGGTGGTGATATGATGTGATGCTAACAGGTATGACAATCCAGTATGCTCGGAGCAGATGACTGCAACAACACAAGCTCAGGCGCAGCCAGGAAACGGTTACATCCCAGGCTGGATGCTCTGATCAGTGTCACATTCTGAGAGTCAATGTGATCTCATTCTAATGCTGTGATCAACTTCACCAACAAAACACCTGTTTTATATATAAAAAAGTAGAGACATAAGTGGCTATATATAATGTCCTAATAAAGATCTTCAGGACATAAGTGTCTTTTGGGAAACCTTGCTACATTTAATGATTGAAACGTGTGGAACTTGTTTTACCGTTGAACCTGATTACTTAATTGTCAAAGTACTGCACCAATCTAATGACAAACTTTGTCGATTACATTCTTGGGATCTCTACTTGAATGTAAACCTCTAGGCCACATTATAAACATCACACCATTAATGAAGGAAGGGCTCATATAAGATGTGGTAAGAAGTTTAATGCTTTCTTAGACACAACAATGCACCAGAGGCATATTTGTGAGTAACAGTCTTTAGTTGTTGTGAACGTTCAGAACTCAATAATCTAACTCTACAGAGTTTACATGTCTTCATTTTTTCGTCAATATATATATACAAAATGTTGTTAATAAACACTAATTTACAGACCAAAGCAAGTTACACATCTCTATGTTGTCTTGTTGCTCTCCCTCTTTCCAGTTTAGACAACAAGATCAATGATAATCAGTCACGGTGTTTCGTTGAACTCCATCACCTGAGAATGAGACAAAAATGCAGCAGATGGAGACTATATTTTAATCAATATGAATGAGAAACAACGCAGTAGCTCTATTGTCCATTCAATTCTACTCAAAATCACATATCTATGCGTGATTGTGCCTGGAATCTGACTCACCAGTGGATGAGAAACAGAGAAAATGGTTTAGAAACAACATGAAAAATTGTTACCTTTCCACAAACAGGGCAGTTCTCGCTTCTCTCCATCCATTCATAAATGCAACCAAGATGGAAATGGTGACAACACTTTGTAACAATCTTGGGGTTCTCTGATGTGTACTCTGCATAAAAAGATCTGATTCTTAGCTTTCCGTGAAATGCATTTATTAAAGACGTTAAAGAAGATGAAAAATGAATACCTTCAAGACACGTTGGACAAACATCTTCATCATCAGACATTACATACAAACCATCATTACCACCAGCATCCATTGTCTTTGACTTGAGAATCCTCCTAGTGGATTTAGAGAAGTCATCTTTGGAATCTTCACCAGAGACCATAAGCTTATTACTAGCCCATTTGCTTCCTTCTACTGAGAAATGAACATCATCATCACTTCTCAAGGGCTCAGCTTCCTCATGTGAATGACTTGAGCCCTTATCGCGTCGCCGTGACCGGAAGAAGCCTGGATCAGCATCGTAAGGCAGAGGCCTTGGAGTAGAGTGGAATGTGTTAGACATAAAGTTATCGTATGAAGAAGAGGATGTTATGGATACAGTAGTGGCTTGTAAGGTGGATGGGAGAGAGCGGGTTTCGTTTCTTCTGAACAAAGTGATATACTGCAAGAGAAAGAGATCAAATATTATTTAAAAAAAAACTAACAGTTCCTAAATAGTGAGAAATAGAAAACATTACCAGGTTAAGTAGGCTGTTAACAAAACATCTCGGACAAGGGCAGTTTCTAATTATAGAATTACTTGGGTTCGTGTAGTCCTCATAGTCTTCCACTCGAAAGCAAGAAGAAACACAACCCATTTTTTTTTCTCTTCTTTCTTGAATTGTTAACTCTAATAACGTTTCTTCAACTCAAGAACTTGTAAGCAAAATGTTAACTTCGATATGTTTCTTCACCTCAAGGTTTCACCAGCAATCTGATCACAAAATATAAATATATCCATTGATGATACAGCAAGAACTTGGGAGTGATTCAACAGCATTGACAATTAAGTAAGTTTTTAAACAGAGAGATTCCTCCCAGCAAGAGACAGTAACCATTCACCTAACTCTAACTCAGGACATAAAGGTTGTTCCTTTGGACAAAAAAAAAACTCGAAGTCTTTGCATTAAAGCCAATTAAACAGTTGAAAATTTGAAATCTAATTTTAGGTAAATCCCAATAAATCAGAGAAAGATAATTTATAAAAAAAAAATAACGGATTGTTGACTGATCAGGATCGATCAGAGTTCACTACTATCCACAGAAGATTATATTTTTATTTAAATAATAAAAAAACAGAGGAAATGGGAACGAGGACTGTACCTTTAAGGAAGAACTAAACTGGTTTTTTTCGAATTCGATCGGACTAGACGGAACACAAAAGAGACACAGACAGAGATGGAGATAAAGAACCGACCAGAGGACCGGTGAAATTCCCAATTTTGAAAACAATACTAAAAAAATTAGAAATAAGTTTGAGCACAATAAGCTTTATTAGAGGAATTTCCTCTTTTTAAAAAATCTTTTAAAATAAAACAATATCGTCAGCGAGAAGAAATATTGAAGAAAAAAAGTGAGAAGGGAGTGTGTTGAAGTTGGTGGGGATGGTGGGTGGGCCTTATTTGCTGGCTGCCATTAGAGTTGAGTCTTTTGTTATAAACCAATAACAATATGTTTTTTTTTTCTTTTCAAAGCAAAAGTTAATTGAATAAAAATGCTAAAAAGGACTTCTAAATAAGTGGAATTAATTTTGGCTGTAAGTACATAATTGAAGATTTTTTTGCATGTTTTCCAACTACTTGCATGTATAATCTATAAACAACTTGGAATCCCGCTATAATAAATTAATAATAGTGTTACACTGTTAGTTATAGTAATCTATAAACAGCTATGTAATAGTGCTATTAAGCAAAATTATTGTTATTCTTTCCACATCATCAATTAAACACAAGTATTTTATCTCTACCCTTTTTCAATCTTTCTTTTTGTAAATTTGGGTCCATATAGTAGTTTTCACTGGTGATTTAGTGAATAGTGGTGGAGTACCTTTTTTAGAGATGTATACAACAAGATTCAAAGGCAGGAGAAATCATCATGTTCAACAAAGATTTGGGCTTTTTTTTGTCAATCAGCCCACATCAAGAAATGGGTAAGGCCTATGTTTACCTACCATTTTGGGTTAATTTGATTTGTAGTCCTATACTATTTAATCTTTAAGAATTTAAATCGCTTTTTCCATAACTATTTTTTACTTCAACATGTGAATTGATTAAAGGATTCCTTATTGTGAAATTTTTGTCAACATTTTCATACATTTTACACAATCCCGTGGTCTATCTGTAATCCGTTTCAGTGCCTTTGTTTATTCTCGTGAAGAACAATCTGATGTAAAAAGGTTAAAAAGAAGTTCCACATTCTTTGATTTATTTTTATTTAATCCTCTTGTCTTTATCAAGAATGATTATGTATATACACACTAGAAGACAGTAGTAAGAATTGGGTATACATACATATATATGGTTTGTGTGGACATCCTTTGTGTCTCGTGAATCGACAGAGACTCTCCAACTGTATTCACTTCCCCATTCTTATTCCCATAATGCTTCACTTTCATAAATTCCAGTTCTTGTTTCCATTGTTAAAGTAGACTTTTTTATATAAAAAAACTACAATTACTCAACTCTATATATTTCTCTAAATCTGAATATATGTATAAACCAAATCATATGTGAAAAATCCTACTCTTCTAAGAATGTTTGGAGGTAAAACTAAACATGTTGTATCTAGTTTGTAAATCTGGATGATTGCTTGGATATATTAAATTCTGCTTGCTAGACTGTTACTGATATGAAAATGTTTGTACTCTTCCCATTTCTAAAAATACGACAAAATACATGTAAAGATTCTTGATATCATTATGGAACAAAGTATAGACAGATCATAACATATTAAAATGTAATTTGGTAAGTTTGTATTAGTATTATATATTCTTGTAAAACGAATAATGCTTGCTGAATAAAAGGGATTTACACTAATAATTTCTTCGTACAACCATGTCAAACTGTATCCATATTTTCGTAATTATATTTAATAAAATTATTATGTTGATAAGCTACTACCATGCAATCGACACGCGAACGTGAATCCAAATTTTCTCGTTGTCATTTTCTCACCTCTTACTATTTGCATACAATAATTTAAGAATATAGAGCTGTAGAAAGAGATGAAATATAGTCACAAGACACTATAGTAGCTTTGTAGTTTGGAAGCTAGACTTGTATTTTTCCCATGATTCACATTAACAAAACTTAAGAGATAAGCTTTTGCTACAATCTCATCTTTTCTCGTGGCTCACTCATCTTCACACAACAGCTCTATATAACCCACCCTCTCTATCATAATAGAAAGATAGTGAGAGAGGGACTAGAGAGAACTGATCACTAATGGAGATAACAACGACCTTCTCTGTTTGGTTTACTCTTATGATTTTCTTGGGAATCTCTATCAATGGAGGCTTATCTCAAGGACAACAACATCTTGTGAAGAAGACACGTTCTCCTGCAGTTGTAGTAGGAACTGTCTACTGTGACACTTGTTTCAACGGTGCCTTTTCGAAATCACACAACCACTTAATCCCAGGTTAGTTTTTTTTCATTTCTTGGTTCTGTTTTACCAGTTCTTGTTCAAGAATTATCAACAGTTTGTTGGATCTTGTTGCAGGTGCTGTAGTTGCAGTGGAATGTATTGACGAGAACTCTAAACCTAGTTTCAGACAAGAAGTGAAAACAGACGAACACGGCCAATTCAAAGCAAAGCTACCCTTCACTGTAAGCAAACATGTGAAGAAGATCAAGAGATGTTCAGTGAAGCTGCTTAGTAGCTCACAGCCTTACTGTTCAATAGCTGCTTCCGCAACTTCTTCATCTCTCAAACGCCTCAAATCGAACAAACACGGGGAAAACACTAGGGTTTTCTCTGCAGGGTTCTTCACTTTCAAACCAGAGAATCAACCAGAGATCTGTAGCCAGAAACCTATCAACAACCTCCGTGAATCCAAGCCTCTTTTACCGGATCCTGCTTTCCCTCCACCGATCCAAGACCCGGTTCCAAACAATCCTTCCCCTCTCCCAACTCTTCCCATTCCTAACTTGCCTCTTCCTCCTCTTCTTCCTCCAGGACCACCACCACAGAAACAAGCTTCCTTGCATAACAAGAAAGAAGGTTCCTTGGATGACAAGAAAACCGAAGTACTAAAACCTGATTTTTTCTTCTTCCCTCCAAATCCGGTTACGCCTCTCCTCCCTCCCAACCCGCTTAACCCGCCTGTCCTCCCACCAAACCCGCTAAACCCGCCGGGTCTCATCCCTCCAAACCCGCTAATTCCTTCTCCACCAACTCTTCCTCTCCCTCCTCTACCGTTTCAACCTCCTCCTTCTACGTTGCTCCCTCCTCTTCCGCCGATTCCTACTCTTCCGCCTGTTCCGGTCATAACTCCGCCTTCACCACCGCCACCTGCTACTTTCCCTATTCCTCTCCCTCCTCTCTTCCCTGGAGTCCCTCCAGCTTCATCTTCCTTCTCTAGTAAACATCAGCCGTAGTTTTAAAAGTCCTTTTGAATTCCAATCATGTAATCTATATGTATCATCCTTCTCTTTTTTTTTTACTCGGCATTTTCACTTGTTGGCTTGTTGTGATTTCAATAAATATTATTACTAATGAGTTTCATATTATGGTTTTTAATCACTGTCTAATCCTCAACTACGTCCAGCAACATAAAACAGTGTAAACTTTAATAATTCATCAAAAGCAGATTTGAATAGACTAGTTTGGCTTGATTAAGAGATTTGGCAACTTGTGTAACTATCATCAAACTTGAATACCTTTGCAGAATTGCTAATTTTTGTACTTTACTTGTGTGTGTAATGAAGTGTATCAATCATTCAATCTGATCAAAATCTCAAATGGACTACATCAGCTTAATTAAGAGATTAGGCAACTTCTGTAATTATCAGAATGTTAAATCACTAACACGGAATTATTACTTTCTTTGTGGATGTTTTAGTTCAGTTGCAATGCAGTGAATCAGTTTAAAACTTCAATAATTACATCAAAAGTTGAATAGACTAGTTTGGCTTGATTAAGAAATTAGGCAACTTTTGTAACTATAAGAAACTTGAATACCTCTACCGAGTTATTACTTTAATTTATTTGTGGGTGTTGTTAGTTAAGTTCCAGTGAAGTGAATCAATCTGATCAAAACTCAAATGGACTAGATTAGCTTTTGATTTAAGAAATTAGAGCAGCTTCTGTAATTATTGGAAAGTTGGGATACTAACACGGAATTATAACTAACTTTTATGGGGTCGTTATTTAGTTCAGTTCCAACGAAGCAAATCTGAACAGAACTCAAAAACTCTTCTTTCGATCTGCAATGGCGGAACCTTCTAACTCCGACACCAGCATTTCGAATCCGACATTCAAAATCCGAAAACTAGAGATCTCCGACAAGAGAAAAGGATACATCGAGCTTCTCGGTCAACTCACCGTAACCGGATCCTTAACCGACGAAGAATTCGATCAACGTTTCCAAGAGATCAGCTCATACGGAGACGACCACTTGATCTGCGTGATCGAGGACACGTCATCCGGTAAAATCGCGGCCACGGGGAGCGTGATGATAGAGAAGAAGTTCTTAAGAAGCTGCGGGAAAGTTGGGCACATAGAGGACGTTGTCGTGGATTCGGAGTTTCGCGGGAAGCATCTGGGAAAGAGAGTGGTTGAGTTTCTTACGGATCATAGCAGAGAGATGGGTTGTTACAAGGTGATTTTAGATTGTAGTGTTGAGAAGAAAGTGTTTTATGAGAAGTGTGGGATGTTTAATAGAGGGATTCAGATGTCTAAGTACTTTGATTAAACACTCTCTCATTATCATCATCATCTTGTTTGCTTTAGTCTTTATATGAAAGTCTGTGTCTTTATATGAAAGTTTGTGTCTTTTTATGTTATAACACTTGATTTCCATTACAAAACATAAGTTGGTGATCGAAGAGTTCTGATAAACATACAAAACAAGATAAAGGTTTGGACTTGGGCAGGTTTGTAAATTGTTTGCTTGTCTTTATATGAAAGTCTGTGTCTTTAAATGAAAGTCTGTGTTTTTTTATGTTATAACACTTGATTTTCCATTACAAAACATAAGTTGGTGATTTTAAGAGGTTTGATAAAACATACAAAAGTAGATAGGTTTGGACTTTGAGAAGTGAGATTTTGATTTAAGAGAAGTCTCCACCGCTTGATTGCCAGAGATTGATGATGTCTGTAGCTTGGTTTAGTAGGAAGACGCGATGAAGCTCGGAGATCCAAGGCTTGCTCTCTAGCAAAGCTTTGAGCTCTTCCCAAGCATCTTTCCTAGGCCAGAAGTAGTATGGACTTAATGGGATTGTTCCAAATCCTGGTACCGTTTGGTCTAGTGCTACTCCTATGTCCTTTTGCATCCACACGAATTTTAGTACCACTCTTGGTTTGTCCAATGGTTTCACCATCACACGCAGCTTCTTCTGCAATTGAGATAGTAAAGTCCAGTTTCAGTGCACATTTAAGAAGAAAACAATGTCTTCTCTTTTCAAAATCAGATCTTTCAACTTTCTTTCACAAAACTAGTAAGAATCAACAATGAAGTAAACATAAGGGAGGTTATATATGTAAGCAATTATGCATATCCTGACTTGAGAATTTGTTACATATGTAGCTTATGGTACTAGTGGTTTGTTCTGTTCAGACATATGCTTCAAAGGAACAAACTTTATGCAACTGTTTGGTAAAAGATTCTCATGGAACAAAAGGTTTATAGTGATAAAGGAGAATGATAGCATATATAAGATTAGGTAAGTTCAAAGGTTAAACCTTTTTTTCTCTCACACAGAGCAACTTTGCCTAACTAAAGCTAAAACCTAAATTTCGGTTCAAAGAAAATAGTGTGACGATGACTGACCTTTCCAAGGGACGGAGAGTCAGATTCTGGCGGTTCATGAGAGGAGATAGGATCAGAATAAGAGGAAGATGCGAATATTCCGGATACTCTGGCCGGAATCGAAGTAGAGCATGAAATCGACGGCTGAGAAGAGGGCTTGAGCTTCGTTGGTAGCGAGATATGAGAAACAGGTTTCAAAGAGAGTTTCTGAGAAGGTGAAGGAGCTATTCTGATTCCAAAAGAAGCATTATGATTAGACATAGACGCCATTTCCTCTGTGCGTTTGAAGCTTCGAAGCGAGCAAGAGGAGCGGTGAGAGCAAAAGAGGTTTAACAACGTTTCAGGTTGAGATGGTTTAGTTATGGTCTGGTCGGACTCGGACCAAAAACCGGTTCCTCGTATATGTAAATAACTTTTTTTTTCTAGTCTAAAAATCTATATTATAATGATACACTTTAAAGGCTCCTTAAGGTGTCCACATAGGCAGATTATGGGTCCCACATTTTTATATTAAAATAGATAGTTTTTTTAAAATGGCTACAAACAAAGAATATGAGTTTAGTCAAGTGGTCTAAGGCCCCATGTTTGGTCTGCAAGGGTATGGGTTCAATTCCCACTGCTTTCATGCATAGATATTTTTTAAACAGACATAGTCTTGGTAAGATGGTCACAAACAATGAAATACATTTTAGTCAAGTGGTATAAGGTGTTTAATTAAGTATGCATAATTGTGGGTTCAAACCACGCAGCTATTATGTATTTTTGATTTTTTTATTTAGGTTATTATCATATGGGCTTTTTGTTTATAAGGTTCTTATGTTTTTTTGTTTGGCTTATTGTTTTAAAGATCAAAATAGTTGTATAAACCCTAAACCTTAACAAGTTCAAACCCAAAATAGTTAAAAATGAATCCAAAACAAACAATAAAAAAAACAAAAAAACAAGTCTCACGTGGTTGCCTACGCGGATGGCTTAAAGAACCTTAAAACTATCATATTATAATATAGCTCAACCCAAAAATAATAAAAAATAAATCCAAAAACGAACAGACCAAAGAAAAACAAAAAACAAAAAAGTGAATTCCACGCGGTGCATACGTGGATGGCTTAATGAGGGTTGAATAATATAGATTAGGAGCTCAAAAAGTTAAATCATTGCACATATTTCCTAATATATATTTTTAAAAATTTGTATGTGAGATAAAATAAAATAAAACAACAAAAATTAATTATTTTCGTTACTTATTAAATGAATATATAATTTCTCTTACATTTTAATAA